CCCAACGATACCAAGTGACGCTCTGCCAGATCTACCCCTCCTTCCTGCAAATCATTTACTAATTAGTTTTTTTTTCGAACCAAATCAAGGGTATGTCCTTCACCCTCCATCATCTGATTAGACTGTACTATCCCCGACTTTATCGCAGGGTCTTAATAAAATTGCAACGTCGCTCCTTAAAATCTTTGTTTGTTAGTATTGATGAGGACAAAGACTGCGGGTGGATGAGCTGGTTTGTCCGAGCCAAGACCTCCGACCTGATTCCTGCTGATCGGATGCCATTACCCGAGGAGTGGAACATGAAACGTGAGTACGCAGTAGGTTTTTACCCTGCTTTCTACTCCTTTCCCCGACTTTATATTCTTTATCCATCGAACCTCTTTATGACGGTGTAACTGCTGCTTGGTTTCCTGGTGGGATCCCGGACCTCAAAGGATGGGTCCGAAAGCTAGCCTTCGCCTTCTCTAACTCAGAGCATTGCTGGCGAGATCTGGCCAAGGGTCGATAGGAGGCCAAAAACCATGGTGAGTTCTTTCGTTTGTTTTCCTGCACTTCTGTTACGGGATACTTACCTCGGTTTCATATAGGTCTTGGAGACGTCGTCGAGTTGCGGCCGGCCTCGGCTGATGAAGTGGAGGTTCCGAAGCCTTCTAAAGAAAGAAAAAGAAGAAGAGAGTCATCTGAAAATCCTTTGAAGCCAAAGAAGAGCGTGGCTCGAAGATCTAAGCCGATACAACGGTCTTGTCTCCGGAAATGTCTCAAACCTTCGGGAACAAGAGGAAGAAGAGGATGATGACTATCTACTGGAGGCCTGCAAAAGAAATAATTCTGATGCTTCAAAGCCTATCGAGCCGATGACAATTGATGTGGCTCATTCCAAACCCGAAGAAATCTCCGAAGGGAGTTCAAAAAAAGTCTCCAAACCATCATCCAAAAAGAAGGCACCTCGCCTAAGAGAACTTTTGGAGGGCAAGGGCGAGGCTGAGGCCGAACGAACTGATCCCGAGCCTCTGCAAGTAAAATAGAATGCCTCGAGTGGGTCACTTGGGGTAATCAACGTGGATGATTCACCTCGTGGCCCCGAGTTCTCCGAGGGATAGATCAATGAGGCTCATAACTTGAGATCTTCTGAAGTGTAGACGAGACTCGAGGGGTATGAAATCTTTCGAGAATGTCTTGCAGGGCTTGAAGATGGCCTCGACCCAGATGCTTTCTTCATTTTTGAACAAGTGAGTTTTCTATTTTTTATTCCTGCGCTATTTTTTAGCTGTTCTGAATCTTCTTTCCTCCCTCTTTATGAAGGCTATGGTGCTCCATAAAAGGGAATTTTCCAAGTCCCAAACCGAGCTTGCTCGATGCGAGGCTGAGCTTAAGAAGGTTTCGGAAGATATGGACACCGTCAAAGCCCTCTATGCTAAGAAAGAGATGGTGATCCACGATCTTTGAGTTGAGTTGACGCAGGCATGCCAAGGTCGAGCCGAGTATGAGGAGAAGGTAAAACAAATCTCGAAGGTTTGTTGCGTACCTATTTGTTATAGCGACTGCCACTTTTAATTTTGCAGTTTCAGCAGAAGGCCGACTTTTAGGCCCAGCTTCAGAAGGAGCCTAAAATGAAAGAAAACGAGGCGTTAAGGTTGAGGCAAGGTATGGGCAACCTCGCCTCTGAGAAGGAAACTTTAAGAGAGCAGTTAGCTTCGCTCGAACGCCAGCTTCGAGATGTGAAGGAGGAGAGTCAAGCTCGGGGCCTCGAGATCGAGAAGCTTAAAGTTGAATCTACTACTAAGCTGGCCAAGGCTAAATCTGATGATGCGACATTATGACTTCATATCGAGCTGATGCCGAAGCTGCTAATGCTCGACAAGGGAGATTTCTTCTACGGTGGAGGTTAAGTTATCAAGTGTCCTTGACTATGCTAGGTGACAATCCCGGAGGATGACCCTCGAGGAGATACATGCTCGCGTCTTCGATCTTTCAGTTGATATTAAAGTGGAGAAGGTTTTCGAAGAAGAGGCGGCCGCTCTGCTTTCCGATGAGGATGACTCAGCCAATATCTCTAAGAGTGAAAGAGATGCGGATGAAGCCCCCGAGGATGAGGCTCTCCAAGATGCGACTCTTGAAGATGCAGCTGCTAAGGATGTGACCTCGATGTAGTTTTAGGTCACTTTATTTTGTTTCCTTGTAAGCCTTCCTTGTGTAAATATTTCCTGTAGTCATCTTTTGGAAATACGAGGAGGACTTTTATCTCGTCTTTGGCTAGTGCAAGTTTTATCATGGTCTGTATTCAACATTGCCTTTATTTATGAAAAACTTCATTTGAATGACCAGTTCGAGGATTGGTTAAGGGTATTATAAACCCTTAGATTTTTATAATAATTTTCGAGCTGATTTTAAATCAACTCGTTATTGGCTCGGGATATTGTGAACCTTGAGTCCGAATCGAAATGAAAGCGGAGTCTCGAACTATAAGTTTTAGGCCCTTAAGCCTTTCGAGGTTGGACCTTAGGCTCTTACATATCGGCCCTTAGGCTCTTATATATTGGCCCTTAGGCACTTATATATTGGCCCTTGGGCTCTTAAGTTGGGCAGATTCGGCCTCTTAGAATGGCTATATAATTTTTCCCTCATTTTGGCTTAAAAGACTTAGTGAAAATAATGTCTTAGCAAGTGTTTTTTGCACCCATAGGTTTTTCGAGGGTTCAACATATTGGAACCTTATTAGTGATTTGTTTGTGTAAACATAATTGAACACCTCTTGAAGTGTTTCCAAGGGCCGATGTTATCAAAACCCTTGGAATTTTCGAGGGTTGAATTTATCGAAGCCCTTTGTATTTTTCTTTTGCCGAGGGTAGCCTGATTTAACCGGTTTTTACAAAGTGTTTGAAGGCCTTTTAATTTATAGCGAAAGTCGGACGTCTCCTAGCCGCATTATTTGGACGTATCCTTTATATGACCGTAGTCTTTTATTCGGCCGTTGCCTTTATATGATCGTAGTCGTTAGTATGGCCGTAGCCTTTGGACTTGTTCCCCGATAACTTTCCGAACTTGTTCGAGAAGTCAAACCACGAGAATATTGACCTTGGCCTTTGTTTCAAAGGGGTGCCTCTTTGAGGCCTTATTAATTCAAATTTTGATGGCAGTCCCCGAGTATTCGGGGTGCTTCTATGTTTTGGCTTTTAAGTTGTTTCCCGTAGGATCATAAATGTAGAGCTTGTATGAGACACAAAGTATTTTTGATATAACCCAAATGTTTCTTCAAATAATCGATACATGCGTATATGTTCTGCTGTCGGGGCTATACTATTCTATATGGACACGACTCGTCTGACCGTTTGGCCCATTACAAATTCTCCTGTTGAGGCCCTCTTAGGCGTGAAATATCTTTCCCAAAAATGTGACCTCCAAGGGTGATGCCCCCAGTATTCGGGGTTGATTGAAAAGAAGCCTTGAATACTTGTTGGTTATTCCTCGGGTAGCATATAAGTATTGCCTCATTAAAGAACTTGCCGGTAAAACCCATTTGGGACAAAATTTGAGCTAAGGGAAAAAGAGTGGAATTCATGCTTTACGACCTACAGTCTTTGTGCAGGAAGGGGTATTGTCGAGATCACAAGCCTTTGAGAGATTCAATAGTGCCGAGCCATAAAATCCTTTATCAATGATACCGAGGTCTTGCTATTCGCGACCATGGCTTATCCGAGAACCTTGACCTGGTCGGGGATGATTTTGTTTCCCTTTTTGATACCACAAAGGCCGAGAAACTCATCCGCGTCAGCTCCAAGGGAACGCTTCTCTAGGTTCAGCTTCATGTCAAATTGCCCCGAAATGTTGATTATTTCTTGCAAATGAATTAAAGTGGTCCTCTACGCACAGGGACTTATCCAGTCATCTCATCAATATAAACTTTAATTATTTTACCTGTTTATCCTTCGAGCGGAATCCCTGTCATATTTAAATGGGGCGAAGCAATGCGATCTATATTATCAACACGAAACTAAATGAGTTTTATCCAGAGAGCAGGGATTAATCCCGTTCCTTGGTGTACCTTTCTTTTTGGTGGTTGGCTTGGTAGCACCGGGCTTTTCAGGAACTACGAGGGTTCAAGGATCTGGGGAATTCCTTTCTTCACCTTCGATTACCTGTTATTCCGCTTCCGTCAAGGCTCGGAGCTGTGACTACTACTTATCCATCTGCTTAACTTTGGAGGTCGATATCTCCGAGCACCACTTCCTTGACTGCGAAGATCTCTATTGCAGCATGCTGTTCTCCGTGGACTATTTTCACTCCTTTCTCCGTCGGGAACTTCATCATCTAATGGAGAGTCGAAGGCACTGCCCTCATATTGTGTATCCATGGCCTCCCGAGGAGTGCGTTATACCTCATATCACCTTCGACGACGTGGAACCTGGTGTCTTGTATGGTCCCGGCTACGTTTACAAGCAAGATAATTTATCCCTTTGTTGTTTCACTTGCCATGTTGAAGTCGTTCAGCACCCGGGAAGCAAGTATAATCTGTTCTTGCAGGCCGAGTTATTTCACAACCCTCGATATGATTATGTTCGCTGAGCTACCTTGATCCACTAAAACATGTTTAATTTGAATTTTATTCAAAAGGAGAGAGATTACCATGGCATCGTTGTGAGGTTGGGATACGTCTTCTGCTTCCTTGTTGCGGAATGATAAGGCATCCTCGAGCACATAGATCCGAGTCCATTTTTCCTTTGTGATGGACACTTTAGTACATTTGAATGTAGGCCCCTGTGGGACATCGGCCTTACCGATAATCATGTGAATGACATGTTGAGATTTTTCAGGTTCATTCTTCTTGTTTGCGTCTCTTTCTCGGAAATGGTTTTGGCCCGGTCACTTAGAAATTCATGAAGGTGTCCTTCATTGAATAGTCAAGCTACCTCCTCTCTAAGCTGTCTGCAATCCTCGGTCTTATGCCCGTGAGTACCATGGTACTTACACATTACTTCAGGGTTTCTCTGAGAAGGATATGTTTATATAGGCTTGGGCCATCTAGTATCTTCAATTTTGCCAATTTCCAAGATGATACTTGAGGCATCGGCATTGAAGTTGTATTCTAATAATTTGGGGGCCTCCGCTGGTCCTGAGCGCCTGTCAGACCCGCTTTTCCCCATGAATCCCCAGGAGCTTTGGCCTCGATCTACTCTTCGATCATTCCGAGGTGCATTACGCCTTAAAATGTTCCTTCTATCTTCAATGTACGGTTGATACCTTTCTTTGTTGAATCTTGATCCCCGGTCTGTGTCCCTCGGGGGTTTGGCTGCAAACCTATTTGGGTGAACTGAGCCCAAGGGGGCTCCTAACTGGTCATCCTCGACCCTAATTTTTGATTGATACCAATTGTCCACATCCGACCATGTCACAGCTGGATACTCGATCAAGTTCTACTTTAGCTGTCGAGATGCTATCGAGCTTCTTTCATTCAAACCTTGCATGAAGGTCTGAACTGCCCAAACATCGGAGACTGGGGGTAATTCCTTCCTTTCCATCTGAAACCGGGACACGAACTCCCTTAGCATTCCGTCGTCCCTTTGCTTTATCTTGAATACATTCGATTTTCTTGTGGCCACCTTTATGGCCCCGGCGTGTGATTTCACGAAGGCATCCTCCAACATAGCAAATGAATTAATGGAGTTAGGAGCCAAGTTATGATACCAGATCATAGCCCTTTTTGATAGTGTTTCTCCAAACCTTCTTAACAATACTGACTCAGTTTCGTCATCATTCAAGTCATTTCCTTTAATTCCACAAGTGTATGAAGTAATATATTCGTTAGGGTCCGTTGTCCTGTTGTACTTTGGTATATCGGGCATACGAAACTTCTTGGGAATGGGCATCGGAGCAGCACCAGGGGGGAAAGGTTTTTGTATGAATTTTTTGGCATGTAGACCCTTCAAAACTGGAGGTGCTCCCGATATTTGGTCCACGCGGGAGTTGTAAGTTTCCACCTTTTTATCATTGTCTTCTATCCTCTTTTCTCCTGACTCGATTCTTTTAGTCAATTCCTCGAGCATTTTCATGATTGTGGGGTCAGTTCCCGAGCCATTTTCATCGGGCCTTTCAAGCACCGACTCGTGTTGTGTGTTTACTTGTTCGGTAGTGTTAGGAGTTCTGTTTTGACTTTAGAGCTGAGCGATGGCGACTTGCTGAGCTTGCAGCATCTTGAATATCACCTAGAGGCTGACTCCTCCTTCTTCCAGTCCTCGTGTTTCCTGGACTCCGGCCTGGGCTTCCTTGCATCCATTCCTTATGGGGTTTGTGCCTGCTTCTGTGTTTATAGTGTTATGGGAGCTAATGTAAACTGGCTCCATCTTTGGCACTCCCTTAGGGTTTACGGGTGGTACACCGAGCCCTATGCCGCTATTTTCTCCTAGACCTTCGTCCTCGTGAATGGGTGCATTCTGTGTGCTAGACATGATTATCCTGAAATCAAAGAATCTTTGACAAGAAAAAGTGTGAAGAATAACGTATGTTATCAGAAAACTAGCACTAAAATAATCCCTATTATCATTGGCCCCACGGTGGGCACCAAACTGTTTACCTCGGAAAATGTGAGTAACAATTAAAGATATTTAGTGGTTTTAAAGATACATGACATATGCTAATACTAGTGATTATATAGGTAATATTGAGCTTATGTAAGAAGAAATAATAAACCAAATTAGTGTGGTTGAAACAGTAGGGGACTCGAGCTGGTCTATCCAGGGACCTCGAGGTCAGCTAAGACCAATAAAATATGAACAATAAAGTAAAGGCAATAAAGTAGAAGAGTAATTGCTGAGCACGTTAAACAAGAGAAGAATAAGAATGTTCTATTGCTGTAAATGATCTGAACCTTACAAAATGATTGGGGTCCCCTTTATATAGGAGGACAAAACCCCAATATAGTACCTTGCTCATAAAGGTAAAAAATCCTATTGGTACAGGTGTATAACGGCTTAGTACGGACCTGTACCATTTCGTACAACCCTTATCCTATAATTAATGTCCAGGTCCACATGTCCTTGAGAGATTCCCTCTCATCCTTGATTGACTTCGAGACAATGCTGCTCTCGATGCCATCCGTGCCAGGCATTCCATCAGCTCCCTCGAGGTATGTGTCCCTTAGCCGGATACGACACCCAGTTCGAGTCTCCCAGACTCGAGCCTATAGCCCGATTTAAGACTCCAAAATCATACTCCTCGATTTTGACCGTATACACTTTATCCCTATTAGATTTTCATATTTAATTATTGTAATACTTCTTTCTGTCTTATTTCATTTTATTTATACCAGTAAGGCCCTAGCCTGATCACGTCACTACTTGACTGAGGTTAGGCTTGGCACTTACTAGGTACTGTTATGGTGTACTTATACCCTTTCTTGCACATGTTTTTCGTGTGCAGATCCAGGTACCGCACATCAATCGTATTATTAGTGAGACTAGATGGCTGTAGTGACTTCAAGTTATATCTATCGCGTCCGCAAACCTCGGAGTCCCTATATACTCTTACTCATGTTAAACACTTCTTGTATTTCCTTCTTTATTAGATTCTAGAGTTTAGAAGTACTGTTTTCTTCTTTAGCTTATGACTTATGACATTCCTGGTTTTGGGAGAGTTTATGTACTATCGAAAATGATTATGGTATATGTCGAGTGGCTTCTAATTTTCCTTGTTTAAATTTACCTGTTAGTTGATAACCTTTTGTGTTTTTCGTTCCTTTTCGGCAAACGTTAGACTTACCTAGTCGTAGAGACTAGGTGTCATCACGATGGTTCACGGAGAGAGAACTTGGGTCATGACAAATGGAGATTTCCTACCTCGCTTAGTTGCCTAGTATGCCAGATGTGGATGCCCTCACAAGGGATCTTGATGACATTCAGACATCAATGTGGGATGAATTTTAACTAACAAAGCTGTTAAAGAATATTCTTTTTGCTGATACAACGCGCCCTAGCAGGGAGATGCATATTTATAGCATAAAACACTGTCGTGATATTGAGGGTTATGAGTCAATGATCGAAGCCTACTCTGCACTACTATTAAGTAGCAAGAGAGGGTCGAAGAGCTTTGACCCGATTTAGGGTCGGGATCGATTATCACAGAGAGCTAGAATTTGGAGTCGGGTATCTATCTAGTTTAGAGTTGCGTATGTGTTCCAAATAACACTTATATACATTTGGGGGGGGGGGGTTTGTTT